GCTGCAACATCACTGGAGTGCCCAAAAGCACAAGGTGTGCAATACTCAGAGACATGGCCAAGGTAAGAAAGGCTGAAAGACGATGTTTATGTTTATGTTTTATGTTTTATATTTTTTTTATGTTTATCACTGACTTCAATGTCATTTGAAAGACCTAAACGAATTACGAATTATGAAATATAATTAAGAGTATATAGCTGAGCAACTTACAAGGAAAAGTTTTGCCAATGAGTAGACCCTAAAAAGACTTATGATTCAGCGTGGGTGACACATTTACTTTCTGCCAGTCTGGTTGTAGAGAGCTGTGTTGTCAGATGCAGAAAGGATCTTTAGACCACCGTTTCTTGTGCTGTTGTTGGTCTGTCAGCCAGCTGCAGAGAAAATTGATGTTCGAACATAAAGAAATCTTAAGTGAAATCAAATGTTAAAAACAATGAAAAGTGTCCACTGCAACCACTGTCTGTGCTTTTCATGCTGTAGTTTTCAATCTTTGAAGTTTTTTCCATGGTTCTCCCATTCCTGGTGAATGTCACTGTTTCCTCCTTACCTATTCTATCCTACTTGTTAACCAATCAGCATTTAGCAGATGCTTGCATCATTAATTATGGATTTTTGAGCACTGCACAGGTACATGTCTGCAGTGGGTGATTTTCTTTCTTTGTGTTATTTTTGAATGTGTTATTATTTAGAATAGGGTCATGGTCTTGGTTAATATAGTGCACAAATGTTAAAATATCTTTTAAAGCTGGATCTTCTTGGTTGCTACTGTGTCACCTGAAGAATCTGGACAAAATATCCTTATGAAAGACAATACCTAAATATGTGTTTTTTTGTAATGTGAATATTTATGTCCATGAACACAAAAACAGAATATAGACTGAAAACAAAACTGTTTCATGTTTTGTTAGCAGAATGTCTAAACCAAACAGCATATGAAATATGAAACATCAGAGAGACTTACAACAGGGATACTGGGTTTAGGTTCTCCTCAGATTCAAGACTTCAGAGCTGGAGGACTCCTCTTTACCTGAGCTGGAAATAGCTGCTTACTGACTGACTGACTGACTGACTGACTGGCGCTGTTCACGTATTTAAAGATTTAGATGCCGGATGTTTTGCTTTAGTTATGTCAGTTGTTTGGAATCTAGAATGTCAAGTTCATCAGAACAAATTTGATCTCATTGTTCTTTGTTTTCTATTATACTGAAAACAGTGTCAGTAAGAATGTTCACAAAAAACCTGAATGAACAGAGGAATGAAGCCAGAGTTATCATAAGTAAAGATTTTCATATAAAACTCCTTTCAGGCCTCTGGCTTTGGATGCTAACTCTACATTTCATTTAAAGCTCACTATTTAAAAGAAAGATATTTATTTATTTTTGCATTTTGCAACTTATTTTTTGTCAAAAACTAGCCCCACCCCATCCAATGCAGAATCAGAAGCACTCAAAAAAAAGAAAAAACAAAACAAAAACACGGCTCCCCCTAAAAGGCAAGGGGAAAATTAGGAAAGAAATTGACATTTGTGTGTTTATTAGTGTGTAGTATATGAAAAAATTGTTTCCTAATTTGTGTGATCCGACCTCGGACCTATTACTTTGAAGTATTACAAATTAAAAAGGGGTATTTTGTTATCTTTACCCATGTGATTGATGTAGAAACTTGAGATTTCAACATACGTTGAGCCTGG